ATTAAACCACCTGCCTCTGACAAGGGCTTCTCCGATCAAGACTAGTGCTTCTCCCAAATCTCCAGCTACTGCTGACTACACAACTAAGCCACAGCTCCCTTGCTAGGCACATACATGTGCACAGAGGTACACACCCCCACCACTATTTATCTACAACATCTGTCATTACCTGCTAGGAGATAAATTCCACCCACGATCACACCAACCAGTGCAGATTTCATGGCCGACTCCTTGCAGACATTTATGACGGTGACAGACGAGGAGGGGGGTGGGCTGGGGGGGAACTATAGGCTGGCCTGAAAAAGGCAGAGTGCGTGTAAGCTCTCCCCGGTGCCAGTCAGGCAAAAAAGGGATTGGAGCTGAAACCAGCCAATATAGAGAGACCTGCGCTGTAGTGAGATCTAATCCAGCCCTGCTCTAAACCTCCCCAGCTGGCTTCTGTCAGTGCTGACAAGAAGAATGTGTGTCTACAGCATATTCCCACTCAGTGCATTACTGTAATGCCCTGCAGGATCCACAGCATTAGCTCTGACAGTAGGAGGTTGGAGAGCAAGCCCCTGCCTTTGCTCACAACTCATGCAATGCCACTGATTTCCATGAATGGGGAGAGCACCAGCAGGGCCAAGGATATCTTTCCTCTTCTAAACCAGGAAGCAAAGCTGCCGCTCTGCCACTAAGGAATAGCCACGGATGGTAACAACAGCCCAGAGGGGGAATTCTTGCCCCACTAAAGTTAACAGGAGTTTTGCCACTGACTTCATTGGCACTAGGATTTTTCTCTAGGGTCTCCAGTTGCCTTATGTGGAGGGTTTCCAGGATTTGCTTGCACAGGTTCCCGAACTCCTCTCCCATGAAAGCCATTTCACTGTAGCCAAATGAGAGGGAAAGGAGGTTGGGTACAGAGATGCACTGAGAGTGGGAAAAGCAAATGGCAGAAGCAGAAAAGTGAAGGTGAATTTTTCATGTCTCTGGAAACCAAGGGGCAGTTCCTTGCCATCCCAGTCCCCCTCACTGACCAAGCAGCTTGCCCTCTAACGAGCGCCTCCTTGCTAATATCCCCTTGCCAGCCAACAGCTCTTACATTGTTCATGTCCTCTCACCAAGCATTCACAAGCTCCGCTCACAGTGGGGGAACATGTCCTCCATGCAGATGACTACATGGAGTCTAGGCTCTGAGGCTGGGGGTTCCTCCTTCCCCAGTAACGAGCACAGACAGTGCGAGGGGCAGAGGGAGAGGGAA